TCAAAAAGTTGACGACTCTACATGTTTCGACGTCACAGTTTAACGTTGAATATTGTTTATGATTTTAACTTTATACACAAGTGCCAAAATACTATAAAAGTAAACCTGTTAAAATTGCATGTTTAGAAAATGTGTTGCATTTGCCCGCGAATGTTGGCATCTTTAATACTAATACAATATCTATAGAGATTCTTGTGAAATCAATGATCATCAGGAACTGTAAGGACAAACTGCAGATTTTCTGTAAAGATTGAAAGTATTTTTGGAGGAAAAACGTCAAAATCATTAGATTTAAAGTTTAATTGTGAGCATTAGGTGGCAAAATGCTACCAGTGTGACAGATGTAGATGCAATCATGATGTGATACTGGTTGCGGAGAGAGAGGAAGGTGTAAAAGAGGCCAGAGAATAGTTAAAGGAAAGCATGTCTACCAACAGACCATGTATGTTCACAGAATAGTTGAAAAACATGGACAGAGGAAGAAGGGATAGCAGTGGTGAAAGATGGGTGCAAAATGTCACTGAACTCTTGACAGTCTTTATCTTGGATTGTTTTAAAGACTGTTTACAAACACTTTCTCTCCATTGACATTTACTCATATTCTTAGCCTTGGAACGAAGAGATAGATAACAAATTTGGTGCCTCTTGTGGTTGAACTATATGACACTTTCCTACAGGAGCTATCCACAATTGTTTGTGGCCCCGCCAAGAATGAATCTGTTGAGGCTTTTAAGAAATACATACTCTATCAAAACACTTGAAGGCCAAGACCACTCTTGAGAACATAGTTAAGCAACTCGCATTGCAAGACAACCTGCTGGAAAGTGAGTAATTTATGTTTTGCTCAGCATTTTGTATCTGCATCATGAATGTTGCGATAGTTTTGTTGCAGAACTTCAATAGGCATTCAAAGGTTTAGTGCAACAAATGTTAACTCTACCATTTATTTATTCTACCTTCTTTGGGAAAGAAGATAGTTCATGATGGGGTCAAGCACCTCTATCTGATTATCAGCAGGCGGCAGTTGAAAACTCACATGTGTGACTCCTGTGTGTGTTGTTCGATGAGAACTCCAAACTATGAAGAGGGTTGCATATTTTGAGATACTGTGCTGTTTTTTTGTTGTTGTGGTGGTGGCTTACAGTGCATTCAGGTATGTCTACTACTTTGACAGCAATGGAGCTTCTGCTGAACTTCATCAATGTCCATTAAGTAATACAGGCATTGAGAAGCTGCTGAAAGAAGCAAAGCTCTTCATGGACAGTTGTGTCAGGATATTGAACCAGCAAATTCAGTTGAACATTGGATCTTGCCCTTGATCTGGATTCCAAGATGAACCTTGAGCCAATATAATTCTGAGAGAAGATGATTGAGCACTACAAGAAGAGGGTTATTAGCAGGCATGATGTAATGATTATATACTTGGTATTGGAAGGAAATGTTCCACGTAGTTTACTTTGATCATCTCGGGGAAAGATAACAAGCAGGATTGAGAATTTATGGTATGAATGGGTGAAGCTATGTTGTTGTACCTGAAGAAAACCTACCTCATATAAAGTGGATTATTTGTCAGATAAATAATACAACTTGCTACTAGAACATACTTCAGCCTGTGATTGTCCCTATTCTGTCTTATATTGGATTTAGATTACAAGAGTTTCACACACACACCTAAATGCAGGAACATTTTTTTTTTTATTGCTAGATGCTTCTTTTTTGACAGATTGATGGAAGTACTTAAGTCCTGGTTGGAGAAAGCCAGTAACTGTGTCATACCTGCACAGGTACTTGTTGGCCTTAAATTTCATGGTCTGGTGAAGTGTATCATGGAGCTTGTTGAGCATAATAGGTAACAGTTAGAATGGCTTTTAATGAAAGTTTAGATCAAGGAAGGTTTCAAGAGAGGTAATGATTTATTTTCCTGTATGCCAAACCTGTTGAAAACTCGGGCATTTCTTAAGAATGTGGCATTCTCTTTCTGTTTTGATTTTTTCATAAATATGTTGGTGACTCTGTATTGGTGATGGTGTGCTTGTTGAGATGAAGTTTCATCTTGATGAAGATGCAGGCGAAATGAAGAGATGCAAGAAGTACAAGATGATGATTCATCAGACAACAAAAAAGATAGAAAAAGGATCCATCAATCCTCAAGTGACAGCAGGTCCTATATCAGGTGTGGCATTAACAATCCAAGGACAGTTAAGGATACAGTCCCATTGGAAAAGACATTGTGCCAATGTTTCTGTCGAACAAACTTCCCAGGAAGATGGTGAAGACGCAATATAACTACTGCTTAGCAGAAGTATTAATCAAGAACCCAGCTTCAAACTCAAAGAAGGCCTGTAGGCATTCAAAGCACATTTTAGTAGCAGTTGCAAAGGATTTCCCTCCAAAAGCCAAATCAAAAAAAGGACAAGTACCCTGAAAAAAACAATGGCCTGCTTGCCTCAAACCATTAATATGCATTTGTTGTTTAATTCAGACTGTCTAACTAGCTTCATTAAAATGAGCAAGAACTACATTGCCATAGCTATCCTCACAAAACTAACATTCTGACATAGTAAGTTAAGTGAAATTTCTTTATGTATGTTAAAGTTTGTGCTCGTTTTAGCCTAAAAGAATAAAAAGTAATTTAAAGATTTGGTCAAAGTATCATGTGCATGTTATTGTGTGCTTTTAAACAAATTAAATCAGTTTTTGATAGTCAAAAAAGGAATAAAATCATCCTAGTATAGCAATACATATTGCTATAGCAAATTATTCTTTACCTAAATATTATTTGGTTTTATATTTTAAATGTTTTTATAACGTATTACTGAAAATAAACTACACTAAACATTAAGTACTATTAAACTGCTTTAAATATTATTAGCAGTTATTTTCCCAGTGGGTACACAATAAGTTTAAAAAATTGTTTTGATGTGAACGCCTTTTCCAAGATAGTGAAGAATGATTATGCTTAATTATGCCTGTCGTATGACATTAGAGTTAGGCCTGTTGTGTTTTCTAACACTGCATGCTTTATCTTATCTCTTAAGGATTTTCAAGAATTAGAAGAGTGTTTAATAATAATATTTCAACCAGACCATGTTTGTTATATCCATTATTAGACAATCGTCCAATTCTTGAAAATTGGAACATTGTATATAAGCTATTTATTACAACAGTTATAATGGCTTGAATGCGTTTTCTAAACTGGTGAAGCATCATTATAATTAATCATACTTGTCATATGACATTAGTATTAAGCCAATTCTATTCTTTTAATAATGAAACCTTTATCCAGTCCCTTGGAGATTTTCAAGAATTATTGTTCTATGTCATTCACTGGAGATAACATTTTCTGGTGGGAAAGATAACTCTAAGGTTGTGCATAGTATGTGAAGCTAAACAGTCTTACTTCTATTTGCAATCAGGTGATATATTAGGGTTATCTTATGTTTCAATGGGAATGTACAGTTACATGGGCAGGGCAAGTTGCTCTGGGTACATTACATTACCAAATTAAATAAATAATGTGATGCTTATCCAGTCTGGTAAAATATCTCAAATGAATAGATACAGAACAAATCTGTAGAAATCTCCAGTAAAGTAGCAGGTAAATACACAGCATTTGTGAAATTAATAAGTAATATTCCATGATTATACACCTATGTCCAATCTCAGGAGAAAACAGAAGTACTTTGTGTTAAGTATTTTGATGAATTGTATTGTATCCAGGTGCTGACTGACAAATAGGTTCTGTAGTACATCCATCTCAAGGAGACCAGAACCGAGGTCAGCAATGCCTACCTTTACAATTAAAACCTTCTAGATATAGAACACGACCTCTCCATTGACTTCTAGTTTACTGTCATTTGCTAAGATGAAGTCGATATTTACTGGGCAGAGTAGTGACTTTACTTTGGTAGCATAATATACTGCAATATTTATCCAGTGTTCTGGCTGCTGCTGTTTTTACCCAGAATTCGATTACTTACCCTTGTACTTTCACAGTTGTGTATCAAGCTCCACTCAGCCCTGACAATGAGCTGACCACCAAATTTTCAGAGCAGGCTGGCTGCTGTGTTCCCCAAGTCAGTGGCCAAACCTGATTTGAACTTCGTTGGTTTTACAGAGCTATAGCTGCAGCATTTACTGCTCGCTTTTGCCTCTACTGGACTTGCTGAGCCATTGGTCAAAACTGGTAACCTTGATTAACACGCCCAGAC